AGGTGGGCGGGGATACCCTCTCCTAATCCCCCTCGATCCCTGGCGATAGTTAAAGGTCAACTTAGCTCAGTTTCTACAAGCACCGGTCCTGATATGTTCACATCCAAAAGCAGCGTGGTCACTATTGCCTCTCAACAGATCCTCCTCTCGGCTACCACTAGGGAAGCGGGGCTCCCAAACGTCATTCCCTACTCCTCAAGACATCACTTCTGCACTGAGTGCACACCCGAACTTTATCCCACTGAGATGCTGAGGCACCCTCCAGACCTTCCAAATTCCCAAGGTCATAGACTCTACTCCCTTCAGCAGCAGCTGTGAGCCAAAGCATTTTCTGACCTGCCTTAAGGATCATTTTATTCTTCAAAAGATAGAGGAACCCACAAGGGGGAATTTATATCCCGAGTCTGATTTACTCAATAAGGAATGATGTCCTTGAGAGTAAGGGACCACTTTATACTAGAATTTGTAGTATAGTCTGACAGGCCCATTAGATTTCAGGGGGCAGCTAGCTGGGCTTGGAATCAGGAAGACTCATCTTCCTGAGTTCAAATCTGGCCTCAGACACTCACTAGCTGTGTGATCCTGGGCAAGTCACTTCACCCTATTTGCCTCAGTTTCCTCATCCATAAAAGGAGCTGGAGAAAAAAATGGCAAACCAGTCTAGTACCTTTGCCAAGAAAACTCCATTTGAAAGGAGAGTTTCTCTGGCTACCAATGTCCCTAAGTAGATACTCTGTGACCAGATATGTTGCCAGTTTCTTTCTTTAGATATGTACCCCTCCCCATGGCAATGTGATTCCCCAAGGTACAGCACCAATACTGAGGGAATCTATCACTTAATTGGCTGAAGGGTTTGATGTCTTTTGTTTCAGTCTGTGTCCTGTCCTTTCTAGTTGGTTTAGTAAAAGTATACACATCTATGGTCTTAGAAGTTATGAATTTGATTAAGTACTGACCACAGGGTGCTTTGAATCTAGGGTAGCTGCAAATATAAAGTCACACACTTGGGTTCAAACAATCAATTTCACAAGCATGCAATGGAGGAGGTGCGAACAGGCGTCTGAAAAAAAGGCTGGGAGTCATCATGGCTTGCAAGCTCAATGTGAGTCAGCAATTTGGTATGGCCGCCTGAAAAGCTAATGTGAGCTTAAGTTTCATAAATAATAACTCAAACACTACGGATTTGAGATAATGCATGTAAGCACTTTACAAGCCCTTAAGTTGTATAAATGATAGGTGTTGTTATTGTTAGAATTACTGTGATAATTGCACAGTGCTTTAGGGCTTACAATGCACTTTACATGCATTATTTTGTTATATCTTCACAACAACACTGCTCCTCTTATCATTCCCATTTTACAGATGTGGAGACTGACCCAGTAGAGGTTAAGTAACTCATAACAATGTCTGAGTTAAGATTTGAACTCAGGTCTTCCTGACTCCATGTCCAGTGCTCTATCCACTGAGAGGAATCATGTCCACAGCTAAGGAGGTGAATATTTCTGTAATCTGTCCTGTTAGACCAAATCGAGAAAACTGGGTTCTGTTCTAGATGTTACATTTTAAGTAGGGCATTGGACAGCATTCAGAGGAAAACAACCAGGACAGGGAAGGGCTCCTTAATTATTCCATAAAAAGATCAATTGAAAAAACTTGGAACACTTAGCCTGGAGAAAAGAAGACTCACATATTCAAAGGGCTGTGCACTCTGAACACTGTAAATCTTTGAAATCCAGGTCTCCCAAGGGCCTCTGGAGGAGGTCCTATCATCTATCTGAGGACTAGCCTGGCTAGCTTCAGAGAAACTCATTGATTGAAGCTCCCTGGTGACTCTGTGGATAGAGTGCTAGGCCTGGAGCCAGGAAGACTTTTCTTTGTAGGTTCAAATCTGGCCTCAGACACTTACAGCTGTGTGACCCTGGACAAGTCACTTAACCTGGTTTGCCTCGGTTCCTCATCTGTAAAATAAGCTGAAGAAGGAAATGACAAACCATCTCTGCTGAGAAAACCTGAAATGGGGTCATGAGGAGCTGGACACAATTGAAAAACAACTGAACTAACGGGCATGGGAGTTTCAGGGTCACAGTAACTCACCAGAGCCCTGCTCTACCAGGCCATGAACATGGGTTCTATATCAGTGGAGGAGGGGGCCCCCATCTGATGAAATTAAAAGTCTTGAAATGTCAAATGGTTGGCATTCCTGATATCAGCCCTGATTCCTGATATCATCAAGAGACTGTTAGGCTGCTATCCAGGCAGCAGCAGCACCAGTAGCAGCAGTAGCGCCTCATTCTGTAGCTTATTGGTTTACAAAGAACTTTTCTCACAGTGACCCTAGGCAGTGGGCCATGCAAGCGTTATTATAAGACCCATCTTACAGATGAGGGAAGTGGGTTTCGGGGAGGGAGACTGGCTTGCCTGTCATCACACAGCTGGCAGATGTCCGAGCCAGAATCTGAACTGGGGTCTCCAGAGTGCGACACCGTAGGATTGTGGGTGGAGTGCATACCTGGGTTTTCTGAGGACCAGCTCAGCTAAATGCAGAGAGCCTCATAGTTGCACTAAATTTTTGGTCACCACTCATGAGCATGACATGTAAAGTGATGAGGGGTTGCAATCTGTATCAGTGGACCTGTGGGAAAACCCACAATGAGCAAATTACAGTTATGAAATAATAATGTAATGATAATAATGTCCTCTTATATAGTGATCTTTGAGGCAAGCAGAGAATACTTTTAGGAATTTTCACTACCTTGTAGAAATGCCCAGGCATATCCCGAAGGGTCTGGTAAGCTTAACCCCCTTTCCTCTCCTCCAGAAAAAGGGGCAGATTCCCTGAGCATGACTCAAACCCTCCTTTCCCTGCAACCTCCTTGCCCCACCAAAGCAGTGAGTATCTCTGCCACAATCTCGGCGATTCCCCAAACCAAAACTTCCTTCCCTCACCACCACTCCCCAGTATATGTTATAGGCCCTACAGAATGTAAGCTCCTTGAGGACAGGGACTGTATTTGTGTCACTACTTCTTGGAGTACTGTATGCATGTAATAAATACTTGCTAAAAAAACTAAGTGTAGCAACGTGACTACTATGTAAGTGCTTTGCATTAGTACACATGTATAACCTGTATCGAGCTGCCTGCCTTCTCAATGAGGGAGGGTGGGGAGGGAGGAAGGGAGAAAGTTTGGAACCCAAAGTTTTAAAAACACATGTTAAAAATTATTTTCACATGCAACTGGGAAATAAAATATACAGGTAATAGGATATAGAAATCTATACTGCTCTACAGGAAAATGGAAGAGGAAGGGGATAAGAGAAAGGGAGTGACAGATTAGGGGAAGGGGTATTCAGAATGCACGCCATCTTGGGGTGGGGGAGGGGCGAGATGGAGAGAAAATTTGGAAACCGAAGTCAACAGAAAAAAATGATTGTTGCTTGACTAGACGCCGTCTGGGCTCCTTACTCCTATAGCCTACTGCTGTCTTGGGTCTAGATTCAGGGAGGATAATGGGGATGGCCTTGGCCTTGATAACAGGCATGGGACAACTGGGGTTCTGTGGATGCCTGATGCATTTGCTGTTTTGGGCCAGCCTAACCTCAATGAGAGAACAGGAAACTATGCTAATATTGGAGACAGGGATAGGAAATGGACCTGTGATTTCACTGATACAGAGAACTTCTGGGTGAGGACATTTCCTTCACCAGTTCTGGTTGGCCCCGTTCTCTGCAACTTAAAATCTTGGTTGCTCCAAGCACTAGCACTGAGTCAGGGTCAGGAAGCCTGAATTGGCTCCGAGGCCAAAGTTCTGTCTACTTTACAACAGCTGCCTCTTATACTAATAAAAGAGAGATAACAGCTCACATTTCCGTGTATCTTTGGAAACGCCCTTTATGCTGAGTTACCTGACGTGAGCCGGTGGGTGCTGCTTATTTTCCCCATTTTGCAGAGGAGGAAGCTTAGGCTCAGAGCAGCTAATGGATTTGGCCAGGTTCACACAGCTAGCAAGTCTCAGAGGCAGGATTTAAACCTAGGTTTTTCTGCCTCCAGAAGGTTCTCTCCAAACCATGTGAACATAATGTCAGAAACTCACACAATCAGCTTTTGTTGAATACCTTTGTTGGACGAAGTAAAGGAGAACTGAGCCACATTGAGGCAGGCACTGCTTTTGCCTTTGCTCAGTGCCTGGCTATACAGTCAGCACTTAATAAAGGCTTTTCGAGTTGACTTGACTCTTTGCTCTGAGACCTTCTAGCCCAAGTTCTTCATTTGACCATCAGGGAAAGAGTCCCTAGAGGATAGGGATTTGTTCAAGGTCATACAGAAAATCAGTGGGAGATGTGGCCACCTGCCTCCCCACTATACTGCGGGCAGCCCATGGCAGAGTTTTCTGTGTCCCGGGAGGAGATAATGGTGAAGTGCCAAAGGGAAAGCATAAAACAGTGACAATACTACCTTATTCAATTTAATATGTCATTTTTTAAAAGCTCTATGTTAGGCCAAGTTCAGAATTCTTCACCTCCCTTTTTCTTCTTCATATGTTGATGTTTGTTGATTGAATTCACCACAGAACATAAAGATGTCACAGACCCATCCCATGGCGGAACAGAGGAAAAGAACTCGGGAGACAGAGCATTAAGACTCCAAGCCCAACCTGAGAGCGGTAAAGGCTGCACTGGCCTTTGGAGGCCACCTGGCCCAACCCCCTCCTTTTAAAGAAGAGGAATCTGGAGGCCAGATAGGTTACTTGGCCAAGGTCACAGAGCTGGTAAACAGAGCCAGGATTTGAACCCAGGTCTCTCTTGGTTTAGGGTCCAATGTTCTTTCCCTGTACCTTCCATACTGTGGGTTCTGAGCAGACCTCCTATTTTCTGCCAGAGAGGTCTGAAAGATTCTCTGGGCTCTGATTCAATCCTCTGCCCAATCCTTCAGCCAAGTGGGGGATGAAGAGGATACAGTTTCTTCCTTGATTCTCAGAATGCCTGCAAGGAACTCCTCAATCTTTACCAATAAATCCTTCCTTTATTAAATAGAGATTTCGTTACATTTCATTTTAAAAAACAAAACTAGAAGTGAGCCAGCAGGAAGTCTGTGTCCAGAATAGCCCCAGATCACAGGGCCAGGTGGGGAGAGGGAGGTCCCTTGGGGGGAAGGGTCCCTTCAGAGGATCACTACAATATAGCCGCTCCCTCCCTCCAGGGACTCACGACTCCCCCACCCTAATGCTGCCTGGCAGCCTGCCCACCCCTCACCACCATCCAGGCCCATCCTCTAAAGGGGAGGGTAGTGTCTCCCACCCACAGGCTGGTGCCAAGGACATGGGGCAGGCTATATCCCTAGCCCTTCCGCATCTGAGGAAGCATCCATCAGCCTAGAGGGAAGAGCTCTCGGCTGGTCCTGAGGAAAGGCACTCCAGAGGCACGAAATGGGCCTCCCTCCCCTACCCTGCCTCCTCCGGGCCTGCAGGGCCTCCTGAACAGACTGAGACAGGTGGGAAGCCTCTCAGCTCAAGCTATATGAGCCCAACTGCTTCTAGAGGGGTGTGTGTGTGATGGTGGGGGCAGGGAATTACAGGAATAAGAGACGAACTGATGCTGGGAGATTACACAGGAAACACATTTCATCTTCAGAACAGGTGGCCACCCTATCTCCTGGCTGAGGGGGGAGGGGGGTTGAGGGTAGGAGGCCCAGGGTGTGGGCCTGGCTGGAGGCAGGGGAGGCCTGTTGGAGGGCCACTAGCCAACTTCTTCTGGCCCCTATAGCAAACCTCTCACTAGACTGCCCCCAAAGCCTTTCAGCTGCCCTCAACTCAGTCCCTGCTGAGAGCTAAGGCCCTTTAAACTTCTCAGGGGAAGTAGGTGTCCCATTTAAAGGTATAACATTGGAGCCTACTTATGGGAAAGGTCTTCTTCCCTTCCCCTCACCCCCACTCCAAGGGGCGCATACACTCAGCTCGGCTTGGCCCTTCTCTGTCCGACAAGCCCGGCCAATGGTGTATCTGTAATTCCCAGCTTGGAATGATTGTCATTCAGGAAGCAGCAGACGGGGATGGCATTCCAATTTAGGACATGTCCCATGACAGCCAGGAAAGAGAAAAGCTTTCTGGGGGGGAAGGGGGAGAGGGGTGGTTATTAACCCTTGACTGGCAAGTCTTTCTGGCTGAGATCTGTGCTGCCCATAAAGCCCTATGAAGGTATGATAGAGAGGTCACAAGGTCCACTAATGGGCAGAGGGGACACAAGACCACCCTCTTGTCTTAAAGGGAGAATCACCACCATCACTGGGTGTGCGCGGGGGGGGGGGGGGGGGACGGCATTCCAAACACGACTCACACCAGGGATGAAGGCCTGAGGGCAGGGGGAGGGCACTTCCCTCCCAGGCTGCACTCCCCAACCGCTGGCAAAATGTTTGGAGAAGTTTCCCCAAGGGACAGATAAGAGTTTGGGGATTAACAGGGCCAGGAAGCTGGGATCAGGAAACAGCTTCCCTGGCTGAAAGGACAGGAACACACCACAAGGGGGCACTGCTCCCCATTGGCCAGTAGACCAGAATGATGCTTGTCAGTCCTGGTCATTGCCCAAAGTCATTACGGGGGGGGGGGGGGGGGTGATGGGCAACTAAGAGGGGCCTTGATGTCCTGCTTTTTTTGGGGGGGGCGGGTAGGGCAGGGCGCAAGGCCCTGGCTACTTTCCTGAGCTCAAACACAAGAGCCCCTCTAAGGCTGCTGGAGGTGGGCCAGGGGCTGAACACCTCTTCTCTCTGGAAGACTAGAGACCCCTCCACCTCAGCATCTCCCCACGGGCCACGTCTAAGTCTGCAGGCTTTGTTTTTGTTGATCAGATTTTTTTTTCTTCTTTTGGAAAATTCACTGCATCGGCTGGTAGAAGCAGCAGAGGGCCCGGTAACTGGCTCCTGACAGAGCCTGGGCCTTGGAGCCCAAGATCCAGCGTGAAGCGATCTGCTCCTTTCTGTGCCCCCCTCCTCCCTGCAGGGTTTTCTCCAGGGCCTCCTTGCTGGTGGCAGTCCCCCATGGTGAAATCTTCAGAGGACGGAGACCCATCCATCATGTCCTTCTGCCTCAATCAGAGCAGCCCCCAGCCCCGTGGCCCTCTCCCACAACTGCGTGTCCATCTGTCTCCCTGGAGCCGTGAACTCAGTCTTGGCACTAAACCTCATTCGGGTAGAAGCCCAGCTTGGCCAGGGACATCTCCTTCCGGAGCCTCATTATCTCCCAGAAGATCAATTCCACTAGAAGACAGAAAGAAGAGACTGAGTCAGGCTTTGACTAGGAGAGCCCAAAGCACCTTCCCCAATTCTGTCCACCCCCCAAAAAAATCTCTCCTTCCATTATGCTCAGAACAGATGTAACAGCTCAGAGATCTATAAAATGCTAAGGCTTATTACTAAGTGGTTCCATCAGAGATGTGTGAGGGAGTGCAAAGAGTCCTATTTTCCCAGTGCACAGATGATGAAACTGAGGCTCAGAGAAGGGGAAGTGACTGACCCAGGGCATTCTGAAAAGCTAGTAAATATTAGAGTCATTTGACCAGCATCTCCAGGGACACAATTCAGAGCAACATAGGGCTAGGACTGGGCTTGCAGACCCACCCACCAGCCACCCACCTCCCTTATAAATGGAAAAACTGTGACCCAGAGAGATTAAGATCCTTCAAGTTGGGAGGCAGTCTGGTTCAACAGAATAAGCCCTGGCTCCCGAGTCAGAAGCCCTGGGTTCAAATCCTGCCTGTGGGGTTTCCAATCTGTGCAACCGCCTCCCAGGGCCTTACTTTCTCCTCTATAGAATGAAAGGGTTGATCTCTGATGTCCTTTCTGCTTCTAGAGAGAGGATTCCATCAGAAGTAGGACTCAAACCCGAATGCCTGGCTGCCATGTTCTCTGAATGTCCATAGCAAAATCTGACTAAGATGACTTTTCTGCTTACACATCATGCCTCCCAATGGTCCCCCACCACCCTGTAGGACCTAAGCTCTTTGGAGGCAAGCGACCGTTTTGGCATCATGGATTAATCATTTGGGGATCATGGGATCCATGGGATCCCTAGCACCAAGCCCAGGATCTGCCATGTGTACATACGTGTGATTTCACTATTGTAAGGAATCCTGGTGTGGAAAGCTCCTCCTACCATGCAGACTAGAGTCTCGACTGGCCCTCACAGTTGTAGAGACTAAGGCCCTGAAATGGTCACCTAGATGGCATATGTGTCCAAGGTAGGGCTTGGACCTAATCTTTCCTGATATATCAAGGCGGACCTTTCATTCACTTAATGATTCACTAAATGCTAAGTCATTTGACCTGCCTCGCTATCTCGCATTTAGTAACCACTTATGAAATATCTGCTGATTTTCTTTGGGCCTCACTTCCTCAATCTGTAAAATGGGAGACCTGTACCAGATAGTTTCTCTGAGGTTCCATCAGTTCTCTTTGATGCTATGATTTAAAATCATTTTGAATGTTTGTGTCCCCAGAACCTTTCTCACTAACCTAGCTATAGCAAGCCCTTTCCAAATGCTACAACTGAATTCTAGCCTCCTGAAGCAGCCAGCTTTGAGTGCCTACTGTGTGGGGCACTGGTAGAGTCGTGCATTTTGCATCTTAGCTGGAGAGCTCCCCATCAAGTTGGAGAGAATGGCACCAGAACTACCTAGTCCTCAGGTCCCTACTTCAGGGCTTATGGGACCAGACAGGACTTGAGCTGGGCCCTGAAGGATAAGGAAACTTGGAAAGGCCAGTATGAGAGGAAGGCCCTCCAGGAGAGGGGGGAAGAAGCCTTAGGAAAGGCCCAGAGATGGGAATCAGCCTAGCCCTGTTCAGGGGAGAGGGAGGAATCTGGTCGGACTGGAGGGGAGGCTTCGTGTGTGGGAGGAGAGAGTTTGGAGGGCCTTGAACACTAGACTCAGGAGCATAGGTGTCCAGGAGACCCTAGGGCCACCTGAGTGGGAGTGGGACAAGATAAAATCTGTGTGCTAATGATGATTATATTAATTCTAACGATGACAGTAGCTGACATCTCTGTAGCACTTCAGGGTCTAAAAGCACTTTCCAGGTGTCATCTCATTTAATGCTCAAGACAATCGTTAAAGTGAGTACTATTTCTTATAACCATTTTTTAAACTCAGCTTGCCCTTTCCTTCACATAGGGAGTACCCCAAAAAGTACTTTCTCCTACCAATGTAGGTGGGCATCTTCCCTGCAACTTCTGGCTTGATAGGTTTCCTGGGGGCGCTGAGAAATTAAGGGACATGCCTGGAGTCACCCAGACAGGATGGGTGAGAGGCAGGACTCTGAGGCCAACTCTTGCTGCCTCTCTACCCCCATCTTACACATGAGAAAACTGAGGCTCAGAGAGGCTAGCAATTGGCCCAGGGTCACAGAGCTAGCATGGGTCAGAAGTGGGGTTTGAATTCAAGTCCTCCTCACTTCAAGGCCAGTGGTCTTTTCTCTATGTAACACTTATTAGACTGGCCCGGCATTGTTTTGTTTGTATATATCTCATCTTCAAAACTTGTCATCCCCAGGAGGGCAGGGTCAGTACCAGACGGTCTGGCACAGAGCTGCGCTTGCAGGCCAGCTGACAGTGAGAAGCCAAGCTGGGGATCCCAGAGAATGCCCCTGATTTCCCTTAACCTCAGTTTCCTCCAAAGTAAAATGAGAGGTAGGTTAGATGAGGCACTGTCCTAGGTCTCTGCCCGCCCGGATGATTCTAATGTCTATTAAGCAAGGCTTATGGGTTTGGGTCTTGGTATGGTCCCCTATCAAGCTCCACCTGCTCCCTGGGCCTTGGGGTCTGGTCTCCCAAATGGAAAGTACACTCTCTCTCCCTCCAGCTCCGCAGGATTGTAACTCTTTCCTGCCGGATCTTTTCCACGGCCACAGAGAAGACAGTCAGTGCGTTTTCTCCCCGTGTTCTCTCTCCTGCCAGGAAAGCCCTCCCTCTCCTCCTTCCTCCCTCACAGAATCCTTCAATGCTTGGCTCGGCCACCTCTCCTACAAGAGGCCTGGGCTGGTCGCAGTTGACATGCTTTCCCTCTTAAAATGACTTTGTATCCACATTGTAACCCTTTGCCTGCATCTGTGTTTCCCCTTCAGGGAGAGGGAAAGCCACCTGAGAGAAGCCTGTGGTTGCCTTGGTCCGGGAGTTGGAATTCCCAGAACCAAGGACAGTGCCTGGTACAAAGGAAGGATGTGCACAGCCTGGATCTGTGCCATCACTGGGGGTGACTCCCACTTAGGAAATGCCTTCCCCTAGGGCAGCACAGCACAGTCTATAGTGTGGGGGACACTTGCTTGGGGTCAGAGTCAGTGTAAACAGCAGGACTTGAACCCAAGCCCTCATAACCATTTACTCTTCCTCCCTGCCTTTACAGAATAGGCACTGAATTAGCGAGTAGTACTGAATGTTGGCTGAATTCAACTGAACCTCCCGGAGACGCAGGCAGTGTACATGTTACTGCTCCTGTTTCACAGGTGACCAAACTGAGGCCCTGAGAAGCTGGCCTTATTCTCGTGGGGCATCACTGGCGAACAGAAAGACCATCAGGAATCCGGAGCCCAGACAGGTGACTTCAGTCAAGTCACAGGGGCAGGGCAGGGCAGTGGAAAGAACACCAGGTTCAGTGACCCTGGGTTCAAGTCTTGGCTCTTCTATTGGCTACCTGTGTGACCTTGGATGAGTCACTTTTTATCTGGGCTTTAGTGTCCTCATCTGCAGCGGACTGGACGATGATGATGATGATAATAGCTAGGGTTTACATATGTGCCAGGCACTATTCCAAGCACTTTACAGATGTAATCTCATTTGATAAATAACTCAGATCATGCCTTAGGTTTTTTCCAGCACTAAACCTGAATCCCTCTCTGGGCCTCAGTTTTCTCATCTATAAAGTAAAAGCACTGCCTGTCCCCTAGACTGGGAAGGTAAGGGGAGAAAGCCTAAGGAATGACTGGACCCAAGGGCAGGACACCTGCGCTCAGCCTGCTGCGAGCCAGCCACCAGGGGGCGACCCTGTCCACTCACCAACCAGCCCTGCCTCTTACCGTCCTGCCGCACCAGGCCCTGCTGGATGTAGCGAATATAGGTGAAAAAGTTACAGACAGCTGTGATCTGTAGGGAGGCAGAAGAGAGAGGGGGTGCATGTGAGAGTGGGTCCCCTCAGGCTCTGGGAATCTCCCATCGTGGCAGAAAATGGCCACCCCACGGCAACCAGGGTCACCTCCAGCCCTAAGTCTACTGTTCTATGATCCCACAGCTTTGGTTCTGCACAATAAAGACAATGCACAGCCCCCATTTGTATACAGGCCTGGGCTGGCTCATCTCCACTGGCCAGGCCTTTGCCAGAGGCAGGCACCCCCAATGCCCACAGTCCCACTGACCCACAGTGAGGCAGCCATGGCCTATGATCCCACAGCTTTGGTTCTGCACAATAAAGACAATGCACAGCCCCCATTTGTATACAGGCCTGGGCTGGCTCATCTCCACTGGCCAGGCCTTTGCCAGAGGCAGGCACCCCCAATGCCCACAGTCCCACTGACCCACAGTGAGGCAGCCATGGCCTATGATCCCACAGCTTTGGTTCTGCACAATAAAGACAATGCACGGCCGCCATTTGTATACAGGCCTGGGCTGGCTCCATCCCCACTGGCCAGGCCCTCCTCAGAGGCAGGCACCGGCTGCCTAGGGTCCCACTGATGCACAGGAGCTAGGAAAAGTGGCCTCCAGGCCTGGCTGTGACACTAACTTGCTTCGTGACCCTGGACAAGGATATCTCTGGGTCTCAATGTTCCCACCTGCGAAATCTAGATGGAGTCTACTATCCCTTCCAGCTCAGAACTTTGGTGTTCTGTTGTACGGCCCCCTCCCAACTCAGACATCCTTTTCCTGGGCCAGTGTCCCAAGCCCGGCCTTGAACAGCAGCCACCCTGAAGGATGGCCTGGGGTCCAGGGTAGCCAGAGGACTTACCCTGGCCCTGCAGGATGGAGAGATGTAGTAATAATTCTCAGAATCTCCCAGCCTGATTCGGTGTCGGCAAGTCCGAGACAAGCCACTGAGAGCGCACTTCCTGGGGGAGACAAGGCAGGGGGACATCACGGAGGGGTCGACTCTGGAGGAGAGGAAGAATGGGGGCGGGGCGGAGAGGGAAAAGAGAATGGGGTGCGGGAGGGGGAGAGGGAAGGCTGGCTGAGAGGAGGCTCTGCCTGGGAGGCTCTGGCAAGGACTGCAGCCCCATGGAAATCGATCAGCTAAGGTTTTGTCCATTCAAGTCCTGCAGACCCAACTTGCTAACAGACTGAGGAAAAAGGGGGAGGGGGGACTAGATATCAGAAGTGAGGATGTTAGCTTTTACTAGGATGAGAGAGAGAGCTCAGCAGAGCCCTGAGCCCTCAGCCCTCAGCCTGGGCCCTGGACTCCTCTGCTCCCCCAGGAAACACCCACCCACACATGTAGGTGCACAGACACATCAAAGAGGAAGGGAGGCTGTGAATCCAGTGAATCCAGGCAACAACATCACAGCCTCCAGCCCTGGGAACACCCCCACTGCCTCCTCTTGGCCCAGGGCCTACTCCTCTGACTTTCTTTCCACATAGATGGGTAGACACACACACAACACACACACACACACACACACAGACTCAGAGTCTCCCCATCTCGCCCAGGCTAGAAGTGCACTCAGGCCCTACCTTACTATGATCATTGTAAGACCTTTCATCTGATTCATCTGCAACCCGCTCAGGCCCGCCCCTCCCCAGGCAGCCCGGCGGTCTCCTGCTCCCAGGGGCTCCCCATGTTGTTGCAGACACCCGAGAGCCTTATGATGCTGCTCAGAACTCCAGAGCTCAAGCAATGCACCCACTACAGCCTCTCCTGTAAGCAGGGATTTCAGGCATGCACTGCCTCTCCTCTGCCTCTCTCATGGAATGGGGCTGGGGATGGAGGCCTGCAGGTACCCCCTTCTTCAAAAATCATTCATAGAAATCTTCCCCCTCAGCTGTAACTTTCCCTACATCCCATGCTATGTTCTAGGGCCATCCTGAGCTCTTCTCTTCCCCTATAGATTACAGCCTTCTTGAGGGCAGCCCCCCCACCCCCTCCGCCCAAGTCCTAGCTATCTTTGTTGTCAAGTGCCTGGAAAAGTGCCTCTATTTTTTTACTTTTATTTTTTGGTAATCTTTCTGCCCATGAGACAAACCATCTTCTCGGCAGCCGGCCCAAGTGAGGGGTTCTGTTTGTACCTCCCTTCCCTGCCCCCCCCCGAGGCAAATCCTGCCTCAGACGCTTACTAGTTGTGTGACCTTGGACAAGGCCCTTCAACTCTCTGGGCCTCAGTTTCCTCTTCCATACAATGAGGGAAGTTGGATTTGATGACCTCTGAAGTCCCTTATTGCTCAAATTTATGATCCTATGAAGGTATTCACACCCACGCACCTGCACACACATACCCACACACCCCCCCACACACCCCCACAACACCCATACCCACACCCCCACACCTCCACACCCACACACACATACCCATGCCCACACCCACCCACACACATACCCATACCCACACACACCCACACACACACCCCCATACCCATACCCACACCCACAACCCACACCCACACCCACATACCCACACACACCCACACACACATACCCATACCCACACACATACTCCTCCTAGTCCCAAATAGAAAATTAGTGTTTTCCTGGTTTTAAACCATTTAACATTTTGCAGAAGGAACATTCTTTAAAGAGCCATGATTTCATGCTGAGACAGCAGCATTGATTTAATAACAAAAACCTCTGAACCTGGAGTTGGGAGAAGCCCAGGTTCAAATCCTCTCCCCCCTCCCTCCTCACCTCTACCTTCCCCTTCATGACTGAGCTCATGAGACCTCCCCATACAAAGGCCCTCCTATTCCTGGCACTCCCCCACCCCCAAGTTATTGTTTTGTTTTTTACAGATATTCAATATTGACTCATCCGTGTACATCATACATTGCACTCCAACTCCAACCTTCTGGCCTTTGCATTGGCTGTTCCTCACACCAGGAATGCACCTCCTCCTTCCCTCCATCCCTTAAAATCCCTAGTTTCCTTCAAGGCTTAACTCAAGCCTGCTCCTGCCCCCTGCTGGTGCCTTTTTCCCCAAATCACCTCATATCAGTTTTATATCTATACAGACACATAGACACAGAGACACTTCACCTGCCTTGGCTAAACCATAAACCCCTTGAGGGCCTCCCTATTTGGACTCCTGTCTATACACCCCCAGTGCCTGGGACCTGGAATTTGGTGGGTGTTTAACAAGTTCCTGTTAGTTCATTGATGCCAGTTTGTTCAAGTAGAATACGCTCCTTGAGGGCAGGGGCTCTCTCGCCACTGTATGCCCAGAGCCTGGCATGTAGTAGGTATTTAATAAGTGCTGGTTGCATGAAAGAATGGATGCCAGACCAGAGTTCTGGTTTGAGCCTCAGAGCAGGGAGCTCCTAACAAACCCCAGGTTAGTAAAGCGTCAAGGGGATTTAGTTTGGGGCAGCTCTGGCATCACTTACGTCATGATCTGGGCCCGGAAGCCACTGTGGGAGAGAGAAAGGGAGAAAGGACACTGAGTCAGGGCTGGGCAAGTAGCAGGGGCAAGGGGGTGAGGGTGGGTCTCCAGGAAGGCAGGAGAGGCTGGAAGCCAGCAGGGCCGCTAACTCGAGGCCTGATTGTGGGCAGGAGAGATTTGGGCCTCGGAGGATGAGGCGGTAGAACCTGCAGCTCTGCGGCTCTCTGGCTGAATGACCTTGGGCAAGTCACTTCCCTGCTCTGGGCCCCACAGGCACCCACCAGCTGGATGACATCTCAGCCCCCCTTTGGCTCTAAATCTAGACTCCTCGGAGCTGGGGGGCAGGGTAGGGGGAGGCTGCCACTTCTAGTTTTCTGTGGGTAACACAGACCCTGTGCCCGGAAACAGTCGCTGTTGAGAAATGGGAAATTCCTGGACTGTTATCCTGTTTTCATGAAAACAGGAAGGTGTGTGTTTCCGGGAGGCACTGGCTCAAAGCCTCAGAGAAGGGTAATTCCCAGAGCAGAAACTCCAAAGGCGTGTTCACATGTTCACACACACATACACACACACACACACACACACACACACACACACACACACACACACACACACACACACACACCGTCCCCCTTCAAGGTCCTGAAAAATCTCATCTAAAAGAGGCACCAAGGGAGAATGATGGATCTGAAGTCCCAAGACCTGGATTCAAATCCTGACTTTGTCAAACACTACCTTGTGGGGCCTTAGGCAATCCATGTTTTTGAATGAGGGGGTTGGGGTAGACGGCCTGAGGCTCTGTGATTCTCTCTGCTCTCTCTGGACGTCTCTCAGCTCCCTCCCAGCTCCATGCTGGTAGGAGAAGAGAAGACTGACAGAGAGGAAGAGGCCTAAGTCTCCTGGGACCCGCCTGATCCTCAGCTTCCACTGACTTCTAGAACGCCGGGCCTGGGGTCCCTATGCTCTCCCCTCCACCTCAGATCCCTGAGCGAGGCCCCAGGGATGGAGGAGGGCTGGGGGGGGGGCTTCTGGAGGGGAGCCGCTGGGGCAGGGCAGAAGGGGGAAGGAGCTGGCACCAGGTGAGGGACAGCTGGGGGGGCTCCACTTACTTGGGGCCTCCACACTCGATCGCAGACACCTTCACCACGGGCAGTGCCTGTGAGGCCACGGGCTCAATGGTCAGGGTGTTTTCCTCCACAGCCGCCTGAACCAGCTCAGAAAGCTGAAGCAAAGCCCAGGACAAGCATCAGTGGGGGAGAGGGGGACGAAGGAAGAGAGTCCCCCCCCCCCGTCCCCCCCCCGTCCCCGCCACACACACACTCCTACCCCTCCCCCACCCCAGCCAGGGGCCCTGGTTCCCTCTCACCTCTTGTTTGGTGAAGTTCAGACAAGGGCCCACATCCTCCCGGTAAATCCTCTCCAGGAAGGGGCAGCTCTTGTCCAGGGTGGGGGCCTCCTTCCAGGCCTGGAATTCAGCAAACAGGATGGTGTCCACCTGAAAGGGGCCCAGATGGGTTGGGGTGAGGGATAGCCCAGCACATGGCGCAGGGCTGGGATGGAGGGCCTTGGTCTGGGTTCCTCTGGCCAGGGCCCTGCAGGGGATGCTTCTGGAGCAGGAGCGGCAGTTTAAGAGGGGCTCAAGCAAGATTGGGGGGTGGGGCAAATCAGAGCCCTCCAACAACTCACTGGCAGCTCAGCCCTGAGTCCCACATTCTAGCCCCACTCCCCCTCCTCCCCGAGGAGGGTCAAGGGTCACTGTAGTCTGCGGAGATGGCCCAGGAAGATTCTCCAGATCACATCAATCCTGTGTCTCCCGCCTCTACCACCAGACTTTAAACCCATTTAAAACCCAGAGCTCTGGCCCAAGTACACCTCGTGCTTCTTGCCGTCATTAGAACTAACAAGTGAGAGAACTAATCCCAAAGGTCAGAAGAAAAAATGCTGAAGCACACGGGATCCTCTCAGCTGCAGGGTGATGAGGACAAAGAGAGAAAGGGGTTTGACTTACTCTAGGTCAGGGTCAAAGCTGGGGGAGGGGGGAAACCTGATCCTTTGACTTCCAGAGAGTCTCCCTAGAAGGCCAGAAAGACTTCTGACTGCCCCCTAAGGAGGTGACCAGAGAGAATGCCCCCAACATGGTGGGCTGCTGCTGCTCCCTGCGGGGAGTGGGGGCACAGGGGAACCCGGCCAGGGACTGACTGAGGAGCCCGCCCTCCCTGGGGCTGTTACCTGCCAAGAAGAGGAAGAAGAGGAGGAGGAAGAGGAGGAGGAGGAGAAGGAAGGAGACTCCGAGGCCAGGGTCTGCCAGCCCGGCTCATAAGTGATGTGGATGGCTTTCCCAGGGACGATACATAGGAGTAAGGAGAGGAGGGTGGGCACCTCAGGCTGGGCAGGAGCAGAGAGAGAGAGAGAGAGAGAGAGAAGGAAGGAGCAGGAAAAGGCAGGGACAGACACAGAGAACAACGGAGAAGATTAGTGTCTTCACTCAGCAGCCGGACCCTGCCCTCCTCCATGCTGGTTTGCCTTGGGAGCCCTGGAGGTTTTCAAAAGGTGTCTGTTCCTCTGCCCGCCTCTCCCCTGGGGGCACACTGCGCACTTCTGCTGAGAGGGGACAAGCAAAGTGGCCTGCAAGGTCAGGGCTGGAAGGGAACCGGTCAAGCCCAATGCCCTGCTGCGTCCGGGGACCCTGCTCAAGCCGAGAGCCCTGATTCCCAAGCCAAAGGTCTCCCAGCCAAGGGAAATCAGCGGACGTTGTGGAAAGCAGACTGAATCTGGGGTGGAGTATAGGGATACCTCGTTTCGAATCTGGCTTAACTAGCCGTGTGACCCCAGGCAAACCACTTAGCTCTGGTATCCCCTCCACACTGGCTTCCCTGCTGCCCCCGCTGCTCACGCTGCTTCCTCCTCAGTCTATCTTGTCTCTGTTTATCTATGGTCGCTGTATCCCCACAGCAAAGCATAAGCTCCCTGAAGGCAGGGACAACTTCATTTATATCTTTTGTCCACAGTAGGAGTTAATAAATGTGTTGAATCTATCTTTTGAACCTGTCGTAAGTGCGCTGGACTGTGGGTGTGTTTTTCTGGGTAGTCATGGTTGAGGATAAATCCCACCATCGGGTGAAGGCTGGAGATGACCAGAAGAGGCTGAGGGCAGATCCGCAGCATCCTCAGACAAGAAGGCACCGCCTTGGGAATGCCATTCCATGACTGACATGACTTCCAGCCTATACTGCAATGGGCTTCTTTTCAGGAGTCCTAGAACCTCCAAACCCGCTCCCAGTGGGGAGAGTGCTAAGCCACTTCAACAGTCACTGTGTGGAGTGTGAGCGCCACTTGTCAATGCTAAAGGTCCCCAGCCTGGTGACTGAGCCTTGTTTCCTGAGCAACAGCAGTGACCTCAGGCAAGTCAATGGCCTTCTCTGGGCCCCTCTTAAGAGAGAAAGCATGGCACAGTGGAAAATGAGCTGGATGTGGGGTCAGAAGCCTGGGTTCAAATCCCAGCTCTGCTACTTATACCTCAGTGTAAGTATAGTAAGAACTTGGGTCACTCCCTTTCCCACTCTGGGCCTCAGTTTCCCCATCTGTCAAATGAAGAGGTTAGTGAAATTGGACTGGATGGATGACTTCTGAGGTCCCTCACTACTCCCAAATCCATATGGGGCTGGACGAGGTGGGCTCACAGAACCAGAGATTCTGAACCGGGAAGGGACCCAGGAGGCCATCTGTTGTAGCTTCTCACTTTTTACAGGGAAGGGAACTGAGAGCCATATAGTGGCTTCCCCAAGGCAGGGACCCAGGACTGAAACCCACTTTCTCTGACTCTTTCCCATCTGGCTCAAAAGCAAAGAAGCCCGTGGAAATTCTGGTTGGCTGGCTAAGTGACCCTTGGTCTCTCGGTCTCTCTCTATCCTCTGGCTTCTGCCTGCTGTGGTGGGTCCAGAGCCTTGGCAGGGAGCTCAGGAGTTCCTCAGAGCCAGCAGCAGATACCCAGGCTGATGGGCGGCATCTCTAACCTCCACCCCTACCTCTCTGCACTCTTGGCCGATGGGCTCAAAGGAGATGCTGTGGCCGGTGGCCGGGCAGACAGCCGGGCAGAGGGTGCTGCTGGAACTCTTGTTTCGAGCATGTCCCTTCCGGAAGACGGCCTTGGATGGGCTCAGGAGCTGGGGGTGCAGCTCACGATTGGGCGAAGATGGGGTGGAAGTGATCACCAGGGCCTTCAGGGCTGTCACCTCTGCTTGCAGCATGTCAATCTGGCCAAAGGAAGGGCAAAGGTCAGTGGCCACGCCTGCCTGCCTCTCTAGCCCAGAGCCCCAAGACAGAGAAAACACTCAGTGTCCTTGGCCAAGCTGGAAGGTGCCTCCAACGCCATCTTGTCCATTTTACAGAGAAGGAAACTGAGGCCTGGGGAGGGTAAGAAGAGGAGAGATAGGAGAAGACAAAGAAATGAGGAAGATTTCCCATCACCCCCGCCATCATAAAATCACAGAATTTTAAGAGTCAGAGAGACATGAGCAGCCACTGAATCCAACCTATACCTGAAAAAGAATTCCCATCACATCATGACCAGTAAGGGGAAATCCAGGCTCTGCACAAAGACCTCCAATGGGGGCAGCTAGGTGGTGCAGTGGATAGAGCACTGGCCCTGAAGTCAGGAAGACCTGAGTTCAAATCCAGCCTCAGACCAAATACTTGACACATACTAGCTGTGTGACCCTGGGCGAGTCACTTAACCCCCATTGCCTAAAAACTTTAAAAAAAGAAAAAAGACCTCTGATGAGGGGGAACCTCCCTAAGAGAAGCCCCTTCCATTTTGGGGCAGTTTGCACTGTTAGCACTTCAAACCTAAATTCCACCCATGGCTCTTGATTCTCCCCTCTGGGCCCAAGCAGATCTAACCTAATTCTTTTCCAATATTCCAGCCCTTCAGATATTGGAAGACACTTCCCACCCCCATCTTCTCTTCTTCAGGCTAGATATTCCTAGCTTTCAAACAGCCTTCCATTCTTCTGGTTACCCTGCTGGTCACTGTCCTTTCCAAAATGGCGTATCTGGAACAAAACACCTTCCTACAATCACACCTGGGGGACTGCCCTCAGTCCCTTCAAGCACCTGGACACTGGGTGGATTCCTCAGCGAGGATCGATGGCAGACTTTAAAGGGACAATGGCGACTTCAATCACTTTTGGACTCTCCCCCACCCTTGGCCTCTAGGGGTCATCCCAGATACCGGGATCCTCTAAAGAGTCTTGGAAAAGACCACTGCCACATCCTCAGATGCGGAAGCTCTTCTCAGAGACTGGGACAAATCCTCTCCTCATGACCTCCACACCGATGTGGAACCGCTGCCAGTGCCCACCGTGCCTGTGCCCGGAGTCTGCTGGCAGCTCAGGGAGGGGGGGCCGTTCCCACAGAGACAATCACAGACTTAGAACTGGAAAGGACCTTCAAGGCCGTCTAGTCCAGCTCCTTATCACGGCTGAGGAAACAGTCCCAGAGAAGCGACTGGCCCGAGGTTACGCAGGTACCAAACCCAAGTCCTCCAAAATCTTACCCTCAACTACACGGGACCTCTTCTCCGGGAAAACAGGCATCATTTTCACTACAGAGATTGTTACACTGAGCAAAAATATTGCCTGGGAAGGTGAGCTGATGATGCTGGGGAAGGGGGAAATAAGGTGGTCCTCCCAAAAGCTGCCAGCATAGACTGGGAGTTCTGGGAGAGGGTCTTAGAACAGAGAATACGGTACAACACCCATTCCTATTAAAAACTCGAGGGAGCATAGGAATAAATGGAGTCTTCCTTAAAATGATAGATATCAAAAACCATCAGCAAGCATTATATGTAATGGGGATAAGCTGGAAGCATTTCTAATAAGATTGAGGGTGAAGGGGCAGCTAGGTGGCACAGGAGAACCTGAGTTCAAATCTGACCTCAAACACTTGACACTTGCTAGCTGTGTGACCCTGGGCAAGTCACTTAACTCCGACTGCCTCACCAAAAAAAAAAAAAAAAGATCGGGAGTGAAGCAAGGATGTCCATTATCACCACTGTTATTCAATATTGTGCTAGAAATGTTATCTGTAGCAATCAGAGAAAAAAAGGAATGGAAGGAATTAGAATAGGCAAAGAAGAAACAAAGCTCTCACTCTTTGCAGATGATATGATGGTATACTTAGAGAATCAAGTAAAAAATTACTTGAAATAATAAATTTAGCAAAGTCTCAGGATATATAATAAAACCACATAAATCATTGGCCCAACAGCAGGAGATAGAAAGAGAAATTCCATTTAAAATTACTGCAGACATCATAAAATATTTGAGAGTCTACCTGCCGAAACAAACCCAGGAATTATATGAACACAATTACAAAACGCTTTTCACACAAATAAAGTCAGATTCAAATAATTGGAAAACTATCAGTTGCTCATGGGTAGGCCAAGCTAATAAAATAAAAATGACAATTCTACCTAAATTAATTTACTTATTCAGCACCATACCAATCAAACTAGCAAAAATTATTTTATAAAGCTAGAAAAAACAATAACAAAATTCATCTGGAATAACAAAAGGTCCCGAATATCAAGGAAACTAATGAAAAGAAACACGGGGGAGGGTGGCCTAGCTGTACCAGATCTTAGATTGTATTATAAAGCAGCAATCATGAAAACTCTTTGGTACTGGCTAAGAAATAGAGTGGTGGATCAGTGGAATAGGTTAGGTATGTAAGACACAACAGTCAATGAATATACTAACTAATCTACTATTTGATAAATCCAAAGACTCTAACTTCTGGGATTAGAAATTACTATTTAGGGGGCAACTAGGTGGTACAGTGGATAGAGTTCCAGCCTTGGAGTCAGGAGGACCTTAGCTCAAATCTGACCTCAGACCCTTGATGCTCACTAGCTGTGTGACCTGGTCAAGTCTCCTAACCCCGACTGCCTCACCCCCCCCCAAAAAAAAATCACTATTTAGCAAAAACTGCCAGGAAAACTGGAAAAAATGTACAGCAGAAGGTGGGCATAAACCAACATCTTACACCCTATACCAGGATAAAATCAAAATGGGTATAGGATTTAGATATAAAGACTGATACTATAAGCAAACTGGGACAGCAAGGAATATTTTACCTGTCAGATTAATGGAGAAGGGAAGAATTTATGACCAAACAAGAGATAATGTTATGTAATGTATAATTTTGATTACATTAACTTGAAAAGTTTTTGCACAAAGCCAAGATTAGAAGGGAAACAGAAAACTGGAAAAGAATTTTTACAATCAGTATCTATGATAAAGGCCTCATTTCTAAAATATAGAGAGAACTGAGTCGAATGTATAAGAATACAAGTCATTCCCCAATTGATAAACAGTCAAAGGATATGTGAACAGACAGTTTTCAGAGAAAGAAACTTAAGCTATCTATACTCATACGAAAAAATGCTCTAAATCACTATTGATTAGAGAAATGCAAATCAAAGCAACTCCGAGGTACCACATCACACCTATCAGATTGGTCAACATGACAAAACAGGAAAATGATAAATGTTGGAGAAGATGTGGGAAAATCTGGAACACTAATGCACTGTTGGTGGAGTTGTGAAATGATCCAACCATTCTGGAGAGCAATTTGGAACTATGCCCAAAGGGCTATCAAAATGTGCATATCCTTTGGCCCAGCAATAGCACTTCTAGGGCTATATCCCAAAGAAATCATACAAATGGGAAAGGGACCCACACGTACAAAAATATTCATAGCAGCTCTTTGTGTGGTGACAAAGAATTGGAAATTGAGAGGATGCCCATCAATTGGGGAATGGCTGAACAAGCTGTGGTATATGAATGCAATGGAATACTATCGTGCTATAAGAAATGATGAACAGGTGGACTTCAGAAAAACCTGGAAAGACTTGTATGGTCTGAAGCTGAACGAAGTGAGCAGAACCAGGAGAACATTATACACAGTAACAGCCACATTGCGTGATGACTTTTTTTTTTTTTTTTTGGCAATTGGGGTTAAGTGACTTGCCCAGAGTCACACAGCTAGTAAGTGTCAAGTGTTTGGTCCGAGGCCGGATTTGAACTCAGGTCCTCCTGACTTCAGGGCCAGTGCTCTATCCACTGCGCCACCCGGCTGCCCCAATGACTGACTTTGATAGACTTAGCTCTTCTCAGCAACGCGAGGATCTAAGACATCTCCAAAGGTCTCAAGGTGGAAACTGCTCTCCACATCCAGGCAAAGAACTGTGGAGTCTGAATGCCGATGGAAGCATACTGTTTGCTCTCCTTTTCCTTTGTTGCTTTGTTTTATGGCTTCATTCTTGTGGTTCCTCCCATTTGCTGTATTTGTTCTTTACATCATGACTAATGGGAAAATACGATTAATATGAATGTATAAGTATATCAGATTGCAGGCCATCTTGGGCGGGGAGAAAATTTAAACCTCAAAATCTTATGGAAGTGAATGCTGAAAACTAAAAGTAAATAAATTAGTTATTAAAAAAAAAAAAAGAACAGAGAACAGGAAAGGTCAGAACCAGGAGGAAACTTTAAAGATCATCTCATCCTGTCCTCTCATTTGACAAATAAAGAAACTGAGGCCCAAAGGAGAAGAGGCTTTCTCCAGCTCACAGTCACCTCAGGCATTGGGGAAGACAGTGGGACCTGCTGAATGGACGGAGCAGGGACAGAATCTCCTTAGAGGGTGGGTACGGGGGCAAGGAAGGAAACCCAGATGTCTCACCTTCCCTCGGGCCTCCATCAGCTGCTTCTCGGATGCCGCCTGCTTTGTGTTGGCTTCTCTCACCATCTTGTGTGCTTCCTGCGAAGGGAAGGATGGTCCAGCGGTCACTCAGAGACCCAGGTTCTATCTGAGGGACTTCTTCCTGTGACCTGGCGCCATGTTGGGCTAAGACACTCACCCAGTGTCTGGCCTGCCTTAGTCCCCATGGAAGATTATCTCATCCCCAAGCCCCCCCAGTGCTGGGCAGTCACAGAAGCTCTGAGTGGGATGGAATCTTAGAGAGGACCTAGTCCAACCACTCTGTCCTCGCCCCACATATTACAGAGGAGGAAACTGAGGCTTAGAAAGGCTAGTTAACCTGCTCATCGAAGGGCACATAAGTCATTAAGGAGCAGAGCAGGAATTTGAACTCAGGGCCTCTGACTACACACCCACTGTCTGTCTGGCAATACCATAAGGCCCTTTTGTCAATGATAGATGGCAGAGTCTCTGGGTTGTAAGGAACAGCTCCTAGCTGAACTAAGAATCCCCTCTACAATGCGCCCACCAAGTTGTCATTCAACTTCGACCTGAAGCCCTCCAGGGAAGGGGAGCTCACTACCTGCCAACACAGTGCATTTGGGAAGCTCTCACTGTTAGGAAGCTTTTCCTTTTGTTGAGCCTCGATCCTAGGGCCAAGCAGACAGAGCAAGTCTATTTGTCCTTCCACATGACAGTCCTTCAAATCCTTGCAGACTCCCATGAGCCTCCCCTTCTCTGAGATAAATACCCTAACTAATCCACCCACGACACACTCTCTGGGCCCTTCACCACATCCTGGCAGCCCTCTTCTGGACACTTTCACCGTCCCTCCTGAAACAAGGACTCCAAAATGAGACACACTACTCTAGCTCTTGGGGGCTGAGGCTGTGGCCTCCCTGGTTCTGGACACTGCCCTCAATGCAGCCTAAGGTTTGGGTTTCCACAAAAGCTGTTGACTCACCGAGCTTAGAATGTCAAAACACTCAGACCTTTCACAGTCGAATCTCTCCCCGATCTTTTCTGTGTGGCATTGACTTTTTGAACCCAATCCTAAGTCTTTACATTTATCTCTATTAAAATCACCTTTAGAGTCAGCTCAGTACTCTAATCCTTTAAGATATTTTTGGATCCTGACCAGTCAATGTCCAGCTGGCTCTCCCTCACCCAACTTCACAAGTCATCTGCCAATCTGACAAGCATGCCTTCCTTCATCCACATTATCAATCAAAGTCATACTGAACAGCACAGGCCCAAAGGCCCTGGGACTCTCCAGTCGAGGGGAGGGAAGCATTTATACAGTGCCTAGGATGAGCCACTTTTTTTTTTTTTACAAATATTATCTCATTTTACCCTCACAACAACCCTGCTAGGTGCTATTATTATTCCCATTTTACAGTAGAGAAAATAGAAGCAAACAGAGTTTAAGAGATTTGCCCAGATCTTGCCTGTTCTTACACAAGCCCAACACATTTCCGTGTTCATCCCCCTTCCTTTCCCACCGCACACATTCCTCCCCTTCATACAGTCATCAGTCCAGGCCAACTGGCTCTCTTGTGATACTCTCATTTCCCACCTCCACACCTTTGCATTGATGGTCCTTCCTGCCTAGAGCGCCCTCACTCCCCCCTCACCTTCCCCTCTTAGAACTCCTGATTTCCTTCAAAGCTCAGTGCCAGTGCCACTCCTGCAGAAGGCCTTTCTTGATTCCACCAGCCCCAAGCAGCTAGTGTTTCCCTCAAATGACCTTGTGGCACGTTCAGGCTGAGAACATCCCTCACGTTCTAAGGCCTGGGCCCTCACCAGCCGATCCCCAGTACCCGTCTGCATCTTACACATGTGCACATGGTCTCTCCCAGTGGAAGGTAAGCTCCTTAAGGGCCCTTTTGTCTGTGTATTTCCAGAGCCTGGTATACAGTAAGCACTTAATAAATGCTTGTTGGCTGGCTAGGTATCCTTTCCCTTATTGGATTGTAAGATCCAGCCCCAGGAGGGGTCTGACTAGTCCTGCTCTGGTCTCCCCAAAGGGAGAGGCCAGCATTCAGACCAGGACCTCAGCAGGCATTTCAGATAGACTTGCTGAGGGAGAAGGGATTGATCCTCAGGGTAGATTGGACTGGACGGGACCAGGAACTCACGCCTACATGAGGAAACCCTGTCAGTCTACCCGAACCGATATTTTCTCTGCAACTTATAGCCTTAGAGATTTGTTGGGCAGAACTCTGAAAAGTTAAGTGACTTGTCTAGGGTCATACAGTAAGTACATGTCAGAGGTGGGAGACTTGAACCAAGTCTTCTTGACTCCCAAGTGGATGTTCTATCCATTATACCACACTGTCTCATGACTGATACCCAAGCTCTACCCCATCCCCAACCTGCTAGAAACACCTTCCCGGTTAATATACGATACCACATTGGCATCTGCTCTGGGCACCAAGTGTCCATCAGCTCCTAGGGGGCAGGGCTGGGGCCGGGCTGTTTTCCAGGGACCCAGCACAATGTCATCTCATGATGACACTATGAGCCCCCAGACCTTGGCGGGCCCTGCTCACAGCTTGGCGCCTCCAAGGAGGGCACTGCCTTACCTCAAACAGGCTGGCAGTTAGCTCCTCCAGTTCCTGCTCCAGCTGCTCTCGGACCTTGGACAACCTCTCACACTCTTCATCTTTCAGCTTCAGCTCCTGGGGAGACCAGAGGCATGCCCCCCCCCCACTGAGCACGTGGCCTTCCACAGGGCCAAGCCCGACTGTCTGTCAGCCACCGACCCTCCTCACCACACACCCTCTAGCATCACACTCCTCTAAAATCCGCCCAGACCAGTCTATGGTAGAGGAGGTTAGGTTAACCATAGGAGGAGCAATAAACCAGCCTCTACACCATCACGAGGAAGCCACTCAAGATTTGGCGGGGGGGACATCCTCACCCATTCTCCGATCCAGACCCTGGGTCCTCAGCAGAGGGACCAGCAGGTTGTTCTGCTTGGCCCCTGAGGCAAGGGAGAATTCTCTCCCAGTGAGAGCGATCCCAAAGTGGGTGGCCTCGGGAGGTGGTGAGCTCCCTGTCCCCGGAGGTCTTCGAGCAGAGGACAGATGACTAACCCAAGCACTTGTTGGGGGAAGGAAGAGGAGACTCTTGTTTGGGTATGGCTCAGACTCTATGCTTTCCGGGGTCTGAGCCATTCAAGGCCATGATAACAAAAGCAACAGCTAACCTTGGGGTTGGGCACTTCCTCACAACAACCCTGTGAGGTAGATGCTATTAATATTCCCATTTTTCAGATGAGGAACCTGAGGTTAAGTGACTTGCCCAGGGTCACACTGCTAGTAAGTGTCAAGAGTTCAGTCTTCCTGACACCTGAGTCAGCATTTTATCTCCTAGCTCATACAAATGTCTCAGTACCACTTTTGGACCACATTAACATCATTTGTGACGGTGATCTTTTTGCCTTGGGACCACATGTGATATTCTATAAGGAGAGCTGTGCCCAGGGCTGGTGGCCCCCAAATGACAGATTATTTTCTTAACCCGGGGTCTGCGAACTCATTTAAAAAAGTGTTGGTAGCTACGTCTCAATATGGTTGGTCTCCTTTGGAATCCTGAGTACTTTGTTTTATGCATATAAAAACACGATCTCACTGGCCTCTGCCACCACCTCCCATTCATCCTGTTCTCTATCTTGTTTGTAATGGCCCGTGGTCTCCCTGCTAGACTGGAAGCGCCTTGAGGGCAGGGGCTGTTTTTGCCTTTCTTTGTATTCCCAGTGCCTGTCACATAGCAGGTGCTTAACAAATGCTTGTCTATTTAGCTTGCCCAGACTGTTAAAGGGCCGTGACACAAGGGCGGGGCCTGCCCTGTCTTTCGGATACAGCGCCTGGCACATATGTGATTGTCCCACAACCTGCTTCACTAGCCCAGATATGCTGTGCCCTTGCCCCCGCTGAGGGGAGGTCCACACCTCCCGCCCGCATCCAGGTCCCCCGGTACCTTCTGAGCCTTCCTTAGCTCTTCCTTCAGGAACTCAGAGCCCTTCTCCCGAATCTCCACGGAGGAGCTGCGCAGGCGGGAGACGTCCAGGGGGTTGGCCACGTGCGCCTCCTCTCCTCGGCCGCCCTCCCCGCAGGAAGGCTCCAGCAGCGGGGAGTCCTTCCTTCCTCTGCAGGGGGACGAGCTTTTCCAAGAGCTGGTCACAGGGGATGGCGGTCCCCCTTCTTCTGCCTGGGGCTGGCTGCAGGATAGACACAGGTGAAGGTCAGCAAGAAGCTAGTATCCTGAAGGCGGAGCGCAATTAGCCTTCCCTAAAGCCGTTAGCCTTTGCTGGAAGGAGCAGGTAGAAAACATGCCGCCAGGGAAAATCGCAAGCCCTGGGGTCGAATCCCATCCCCACCACTACCTCCATAGGACCTTGGCCGAGTCCCCTTTCCTCTCCAGGGCCTAATTTCCTCCTCATAAAATGAGAGGCTAGGTAGATGATCTCTGCGGTTCTTTCTGTCCTTGATATTCTCTGTTCTCTACTCAAAGATTTGTCCCCCTGCCCACACTCCCTGTTCTAAGGCTCCCTCCCAGCTCCAACATTCCCTGTTCTCTAACGTTTGGTCACAAGGATTTGGGCTTTAAAGCCCATCAGGTCCAACCTCCTCCCTTTCACAGCTGAGGAAACTGAGGCTCAGGGAAGTAATATGACCTGCCTGAGGTTACACAGTGAATTCCTGGGATTTGAAGCCAGGTCTACTGACTCCCAGGGGGCCTCCCTGGCCAACAGGCTCCTTTTCTTCCCTAGGGGCATGGGGTGAGAGGGAAGGACAGCAAAGATTCATGCCTCCTGGTGGGGTTTGATTCACCATCCTCCACAGAGCTTCCCTCCTCCTTCATCCCCCCTTCCCCCTCTGCTAACTGGAGGGGGGGGCGGAGAGGAACTGGGGAGGGGGAGGTCAGCCCCAGCAGTCTGGGGAAACCTGGCGTTTTTGTGCCGAGGCAGCACCAGACTTGCTCACTCAGCGAAACTGGAGACGCTCACGGGCTCATGAGCCAGCAGGCTTCAGCACACTCTCCAGCAGAGCTGGACGGTATGGGGAGGGCATGCAGGGCCTTGGGGGGAGGGGAGGAGACTCCCGGGGCCCAGCGCCTGTCACTGTTGATCTGATAAGGGCCAGGAACCCCCCCCACACACATACACACAGAGCAGGGGCTGCCAAGGCTGCACCAACCCTTCCACCACAAGTGTTATCTGCCCTGTCCTAAGTGCTTCTGCCCTGTGGATTCCTGAGGGCAAGAGGGAGCCTGGCCAGCCATAGCAGCTCAGGAAGCCCACAAGGAAAGCGGCTGCTTCTGGAGAACACTGAGGAGCCAGGCTGGAGAGCTTCAATCATCCGCCTATGACACTATGCCTTCTTCTGCTGTCCCCACCCTCCTCAGAAAACCCCAACCCCACCACCAATCCTTGGAGCAGAGAAAGGCCAGGATGGGATGCTGGAAAGAGCGGGAGTCAGGGGGGAAGATGTGGGCTTTAGACCCCACGGACTCAGTGTGTCACCTTGACCAAGTCCTTTTCCCACTCAGTTTCCTCTTCTGTAAAATGAGAAGGTTGTAGTGAAATGATAAATAAAACTAAAGAGAGGGAGACAGAGTCAGAGAGAAGGTGAGAGAAGGAAGAGAGAAGAAGGAGTGAAAGATGTGGAGGGAGAGAGGGAAGAGAGAGAAGGAGAAGAAGGAGGAGGAAGAGGAGAGGGAAGGAGGGAGGGAGAGGAAGAGAGAGAAGAGAGAAGGAGAGAAAGAATGGGGAGAGAGAGGAAGAGAAGAAGAAGGAAGAGGAGAGGGAGGGAGGGGGGAGAGAGAGAGAGAGAGAGAGAGAGAGAGAGAGAGAGAGAGAGAGAGAGAGAGAGAGAGAGAGAGTTGGACCAAAGGTCTTCTAAGGTCTTTCCAGCTAGTCATTTCCAAGTGAAGTAATTACACAGGAATTTGGGTGGCGGGACCAAAGCTGGCCATCTGGGAGCGAGATGGGCCCCATCGGCTAATGTATGAGCTCAGTCCAGGGGACCCCTGAATCCCAAACCGGCCAGGACTGGCTGAGAGGCCGAGCTGCAGCTTGCTTTAACATCATAACCAGGAGAGGTCATCTGATCTGGAGTTTCAGAGAAAGGAAGGAACTAGTTGAGGCTCACACAGCTAATTAAATTAAACAGATAATTAAACAGCAGAGCTAGGTGCTGGGGCTCTAGACCCAGAGAGGCTCGCAGGGGCCAATGGAGACCCAGGGAGCTCACGCTGGCCAGGAGTGCTCTAAGGCTGAAGGCCCAGCCAGTCTGTGCTGGAGACAACTTTGGAATCCCGAGCTCAGCTGGCTGCCCCAGAAGCCCAGAGCTAGAGGGGAGCTCAATGACCACCTACTGCAGCCTTCATTCACAGATGAGGACACTGAACCTCTGAGGGGGTGAGAGACTTGCCCCGTGGTAAGCATCTAAGGCAGGATTTGAACCCAGGTCTTCTGACTTCAGGGCTAGCACTCTGTGGGTGACTGTTTCCTTTGTGAATAAACTCGAAAATGTGCTCTTGTCACCTGGCACTTATGGGAGCCTGGGAAGGAGGGAAAGAAGTGAAGAACAGAATTGGGCAAAAGCCACTTGCAGGTACAGAAAAAAGGGAAGGTGGTTGATGTAACCATGGGTTTTTTAGCTGGAAGAAGCACACTCTTCTCTGTCTTTTTACTTTTTTTCTGGACAAATTTGCTAGGAAAAGTGAAAAGCATTATGGCAGAAATCAGGGTTAGAATGTCTTATACTACATGCCACAGTAGACTCCAAATGGATAGGGGATCTGAACATTGAAGATCATGCCCTAGCAAATGGTGAGGGGATGAATTCTTAACCAAAGAAGGACTAGAAGAAATTCCAAAAGATAAACAAGACAGTTTTAGTTACATGCAAATGAAAAGTTTGGAATGAACAAAATTAACGCAACTAAGGTAGGAAGGGAAGAGGTAAATCAGAAAAAAAAATCTTTGTATCAAACATCTCTGATCTCCAGGATATAAGCAAGACAACATAAGACCAAAAGCTATTCTCCAATAGAAAAGGGGTCAAGGGATATGAATAGGAAGTTCTCAGTGCAAATTATTAACAACCACATGAAACAATGCTCTGAACTGCTACTAATAAGAGAAATGCAAATTAAAACAACCCCAAGGTTTCACTTTACACACAGCAAATGGGCAAAGATGATAAAAGACAGGAATAGTCAATGTTGGGCATGCTGGTACATCGTTCGTGGAGCTGTGAGTTGGTTCATTCTAGAAAGCAATTTGGAATTATGCAAAGAAAGTGACTAAAAATCCCATACCATTCGACTCAAGAGATTTCACTAGTAGGCACACACCCCAAGGAGGTCAATCAACCACCACATATACCTAAAATATTTATAGCCATACTTTTTGTAGTAGTAAATAAATTTGATATCCATCAACCGGGGAATGACTAAACAAACTGTAGAACACAGAGAGGTGTATGGAATGTTATGGCACCGTAAGAAAAAAAGAAGTATGATGAGAATGGGGAAGCATGAGAAGACTTGGACCAACCGAATCAAAATGAAGGAAGCAGGAAAAAGACGTACAGAATAATTATAGCAATATAAATGGGGGGGGGACAACAAAACAATCTGAATTGCTTATTACAAACCGATAATGAACAACTCTGACCCCAAGGAGAGACTGCCCATGATTCTTCGACCAGGGGGAGACTGAGGGTGGAGCATTGCATAGAATGGCAGACTTTTTCAATAAGTTGACCAAGTTGCCTGAATTGCTTTCCTTTCCTGGTCCCCCCCGAGATCCCTCAGGATCTCTGGCCCTTTCCGTCAATTCTGTCCTGCCCTGCACTGAGCTGTCTCTTATTCGGGGTCTCACCCAATCAGAGTGGGAACTCCTTGAGAACAAGGAGTGTTTCATTTTTCCTGTTCACACAGGATTTGCCACATAGTGAGGGCTTAGTACATATTTTTAATTCATTCCTTCATTTCCTGCTGTAAGCGACGGCCCTCTGGGAGAAGACTGAGAGGGATACACTGGGAAATAGAGGTGATGTAAAAACCAAATATCAGTTAAAATTACTATTTTTAAAAATGCAGATAGCAAGACCTGAAAGGTCACAGAGGCAGAATAATGACGGGGGTGGGAGAGTCAGACCCTGGATCCCTGAGGGCAACTCGAGCTGTCTTTCCACAAGGGCACAGCCAGTCTCTGAATGCAGGGAGCCAAGCAGGCTATGGGGCACAGAGAGAGGGAAGGCACACAGTCTTGAGGGAAGGGTCATGGGATGCGTAAGCATTAGAAAAAATGGGAGGAAGAAGTCTCTGACATCCAGAGGTCCTGAGCTCCAGCCTTGCCTCGGCTGGTTTCCACCTGTGTGACCTTGGCCAAACTCCACCCCTCGGTTTTCTCCAGGGGCAGCACGGAGTAGTAGATAGAGCTTTGGATTTTGAGACAAACCCTCAGAAACTTACCAGCTATGTGACCGTGCACAAGTCACTTGACCTTATTGGGCCTCAGTTTCCTCATCTGCAAAATGAAGAAGTTGGCCGAGATGGCCTCTAAGGTCTTTCTGGCTCTAAATTCTATGACCCCGAGTGTCCGACGCCCTCCTCTTCTTGCATCACCCCTCATAGCACAGGGTGATGATACGGACCCTAATGATACAAGCCTACAGCCAGGTCTCTGCCCATCGGCCTGGAGCCTTTGACGGCCTCCTTTCCCAGAGGGGAGGGAGGATGGGGGCCGAGGTTTCCCTACCACAGCCCAGGGCTGCGTGAAGGGCCTCCCTCCCAGCCGCCCACCCTGACTCTTCCTCATCCTTTCCTTCACCCATCTGAGCAGACCCAAGGCCACTTGACTCGAGCTCTCCTGTCTCTCTCCCAGCCCCTTCTCAATATTCCCAATTACAATCCTCCTCATTCAGGCCCTGGGTCCCTCCTGCCTGGGCTACAGTGACAGCCTCCTCCTTCCTGGTTCTCCAGCCTCCAGCCTCATCCCTTGAAATCGAACCATCATACTGGGACCCGAGCCACCTTCCTGATGCCCTGTGCTTGCTTTTTGTAATAACGCATCACACTTGGGCTTTGAGGTTTACAAAGCTCTTTCCTCCAAAATCCTATACGGTGAGGGATGGAAGGAAGAGAAGGAAATGGAGCCCAAGAAAAACTGCTCAGACTTGGCCATGGACCCAGGGCTAGAGTTCT